CAACTGTTGTTGGCGGGCGGAGCATGCACCAAAATGGGCGGGGTTCGCCACGGTACTTCATAACCCGGTTCCAATAAGTTCCGAAGATGGGAAAAAAGCGTATAAGGGTTGGCAGAGGGAAAGGGGTCAACTGTTGTTGGCGGGCGGAGCATGCACCAAAGTGGGCGGGGTTTGCCACGGTACTTCATAACTCGGTTCCAATAAGTTCCGGAGATGGGAAAAAAGTAGAAAAAGGTTGGGGAAGAGATGATAGTCAACTGATATGGTGGGCGGAGCATGCACCAAAGTGGGCGGGGTTTGCCACGGTACTTCATAACTCGGTTCCAATAAGTTCCGGAGATGGGAAAAAAGTAGAAAAAGGTTGGGGAAGAGATGATAGTCAACTGATATCAGTGGGCGACCCATGCACCAAAGTGGGCGGGGTTTGCCACAGAAATTCGTGACTCATAACGTCCCCTACAAGACCTCATAATTCGGCTCCGAGATGACTTAGAGACCTAAATGTGTATAGAGGTGAGAGGAGGAGTAGAGGTTGAATGTGAACGCTGGGCGTGGCACACCCCGAAGTGGGCGGAGTTTGCCACCACTCTCATAACTCGGTTCCTAGAAGCCCCAGCGCCCGGGAAAAAGTGGATAAGGGTTGCCGGAGGGAAAGGGGTTAAATGCTAATGGTGGGCTAAGCTTGCACAAAAGTGGGCGGAGTTATGCACGAAACATTATTACTCGGTTCCAAGAAGTCTTGGACACCAGGAAAAAAGTATAGAGGTCAGCGAAGGAAATGAAGTCTCAGTGGGCAGGACATGCGCAAAAGTGGGCGGGGTTACCCATGAATTTCGAAAGAGGAGTGTCTCCAAAGCAGCCGTACCTTGGAATCTCACTCAGCAGCTCTGCAGTAATAGAGAGAGAACATTGCTTACAGACAATTTTTCAGCCTTACCACCTTCCGAAAAAAACCCTGTCTTGGAAGAAAGACCCTCTCCGAAACCGCCTTTCGTTGGAATCTTACTCAGCAGTTCTGCAGTAAATGAGAGGCAACATTGCCCACAGACAGAATTTCTCAACTAGAAAACCTTCTCAAAAATTGAAAAATATACCATGCCCCGAAAAAAGACCCTCTCCAAAACCGCCGTCGCTTGGAATTGTTGTTTTCGTTCGCACCTAGAGATTGGGTACTGTCTTTTGATCGATTCTGTCTGAAACACGTACCTCAATGCGGTGTAGGAAATAGAAAATATAGCTTGCTAGTATTTACTAAATAGAATGTTAAAATTTTTCAAATGAGCAATGAAGAATATGTTAAGGTGGCACGCACCACTGGGTGCTATTGTCCCACGCGGCGCACTGAGTAGCACCACCCGAAGAGCGCCATAGTCACCAAAGAAATGATGGCGAAATACCTTCAGGAGGTCATGACTAATTACAGAATTCCTCATTTGATACAGAGTCGAGTTATTTGCAGTTTTGCCTCATTTTCGTTGGCTTAACGTGAAATTTTGCAAGCTTGTAATTTGACAAGTTCACAATCAATGTAGGGAGAAAATGAACAGTCTTAGAACGGAGATCTCTCAAATATTGGAATGATGCATAATTATTGCAGATTTTTTCGCGCCTTCTTTTTTTTCGAAAGATTGGCGTTTTGTTATTATTTTTCATGAAAATATTCTTCTCTCTTTCATTAACAGAAATGCTTATCGAAAATCATCCTCATATTCGCCACTATGCTCTACCACTTAGAAAGGTTGGAAGGCGGCAGGGTCATTTCGCGATCTCAGCAAGCTTGTCGAACAGTCAGCAAAACCCACTTTGAATAGTTGGTTCAAAGGGTTCAAAACGCCATATTTACCGACCGAAGCTCCTACAGACTACCACTTCAATCAGTCGTTGAAAAACTGGCAAACGAACAAAATTTACGAGCTGGATGACTTGGTGGCCGATGTTAGAGCGTGGATCGTCTCCAAGAATCGTGACTTCTTCACCGTGGAATCGACCGAATGCCAAGCAAATAGGAAGCGTTCTCGGAGGATGGAAAATACGTCTTTGTGTCTTTTTCGACAGTTTGAGTTGAATCATAAAAGCAGTGAATTAGGCGATATCGCAACATTTACTCTTTTTCAACTGAATTTCCTCCACGCTCAATTGCATATCTGGGAACGGGTGGAAGGGAGGGGGGGGGGGAGGGAGTTGAAGTGTGTGCTTCTGTCTCAAAACCGTGGGCAGGTGGTCTGATTTCTTCTCAGCGTCACGGTTAACCTTGCTCCCCAGCCTTTGCTCATGCGCGGACTTGGTTGGTGAATGAGGGGTTGATTGCTTGTGATCATCATTCACAGTAAGCATTTTGCATTCACTATGTGTACCTACTCACCTATGTAACCCTAGATTCCGTGAAGGGTCTCTGGTCGAATCGGGGTTTTTTATTTGGCTGCTGACTTCGTTCCCTTCTGCTTTCACTCTACACTATCACCGCTGCCCGTTTTCTTTTATGCGTTATATCTTTCTCAGGTCTTACACCTTTTGGTTGTAAAGCTATTTTTGACGGGGGATGACCGTTCTGAAAACTATGTAAGCATCTCTTGTGATTTTTTTATGAGTGTGGAAGCGGTCATTTTTAATTCCAGTACGATCAGTGGGAACCAGTACAGCCTCACGCGCAGGACCAGAACATTGCTATTCGATTCCACCACGCGACGTTTACGTGGAGTCCTCAATCAGGTATTATCAGTTCACTGTTTTTTATAAGAACATGAAAAATGTGCAGTGCAGTTGCGTTTTTCACGTAAGCTTTACCTGGTCACCACAGGTTAGGTTAAGCAGAACATTTTTTCGCTTTGGAATTTTTTTTCTATGCGGAAAAGATTGCATGTACGTTCTATTGGCATTTTGTCACCATATGGGATGTTTTCTTGCGTGTACAGGGTGACTACAAATTAAGGTTTCAAGATGAAATGGAATTGCAGTAACAAAATAGAGAGGTCATGAAAAATCGGTACAACTAAAAAAGACAAGTGGAGTACAATATAGAACATAGTTAGTGGGGTTTAGCAAGCGAGAACAGTAGTCAAAAAAATGACAAGAGTAAAAGTGAAAAAAGATTTAACTTTTACTATTGTCATTCTGTGTATCAATTGATTGCTCATTATATTCCTGTACTTTAATTGTAAACAATAGCTAAATAAATGAAAATAAAATCATCAAAACCACATTACCCTATCGAATAGCCAGTATCTGCTTCGGAGTAGGAGCAAAGTCTTCTCGGGAATGCGTTGACCGGACATGTTGATAGCGGTCTCGAGGCGTTG